TGTATATATATATCACATTTAAAAAAAATATTTTTCATTTTATTTAATTTTTTTTCGCTGAACGTCTGCGATTTCCAGTCTAGACTTCTGCAGTAGAACAAAAATGCTCTGCTCCTAATCACTTGAAGTGTTAGCATTGTAAAGACTTTAATTGTATGTTAGACAGGGTGCTTCCTTTAAAATCACTGTGGGAAAACTGCACCCAACACATGTGACCTAAGGCAAAATCTGTAAAGTCCAACTAACTTGTGAACGCAGATGAACTTTCACCGTGTCAGAGGTAACTGCTGCAGGAAAAGCAGCAGCACACAAAGCCTATGCCTTTCCGTTTCAATGCCGTAATTCATTAGCGTCTTGTTTAAATCAATCACGTTCCGTCTAGTCAGCCTCACTCCAGCAACTCCACTCCAGCAACTCCACTCCAGCAACAGTTAAATTGTCTGAACATTTCTGGGTGAGGGCAATGACAGATAGGTTGTTTTAGCACAGTGTGTTTTCAGTCTGGCATTACTACTGTGTATTACCGTTCATTCATTTCAGGTACACCAGTTGATTGATGGCTTGACCACACTGCAAGCTGAGTCTTACCCGGGTACCCTGTATGCTACTAGGGGACACTGTGCTGTGTTAGTAATTAGGAATTGCTGTGGGAAACTTATATGAAGCATTAGGCTGATGTCACACATTGGCAGTCTGTAATAGTCCATGTGCCAACGCACTATAGACCGGAATCCCAATGTAATAAGATGGGTGCTGGTAAGACCTGCGGATGGCGGCGCGTGAATTAGGGTTGCCACCTGTCCAGGAATCACCCAGACTGTCCGGGTTTTGAATGCTGCATCCGGGTTTCACGGCGGGAGAAACCCGGACACAAGATGTCAGGCAGACAGGGGCAACCAAAGAAAGGGGCTACTGGCCTCCCACTGAAATAGTCTCAACTGTGATATTTACATATGAATGGGTGGCGCAATTTACATATGAATAAGCTACCACTCATTCTCCCCCAAAAAATGTCCGCGCATCGCTAGTGTGTTCAGGTTTCGCTTGAAGAAAAGGTGGCAACCCTAGCGTGAATCCAAAGATAGAAAAGAAGTCACACGCACTCCAAAGTCCACTCT